ACTTCGACTCCCAGCATGGCTGGCTGGGGAATTCTGGGAGTCGAAGTCCACCCATCTTCAAGTTGCTTAGGTTGAGAAACACTGGACTTACTCATCTCAGATTTGCATCTTGTTCTCCATTCACAGCTGTGATTCTGGACATCTCCCCATCATTCTCTTTCAATGCTCCTTCCTCTCTCGCCTGCAAAAAATTAAAATAACAACTGCAGCACCTCGGAGTTTTGCTTCCAAACAAAATTTCCCAGGCCCGATGCTGAAGGAAATCCCAGCGGGTTTGGTGGACAAGTACATAGGATTGCAGAAGGAAGCTTTGATTCTAACTGCACTTACTTCAAAATAAGAGCTAAATTCGTGCTTTCGGCTAAGCCAGGATTTTGAGAAGGATTTGCAGAACAGACCACCCTAGCCTGGCTCAGCAGTAATGCTACATCACAGATCCAGCTCTGAGTAGGTAATCCTCCATTTATGACTATTTGTTTAGCAACCATTCCAAGTTACAACACCACTAGAAAAAAGTGACTTACAACCGGTCCTTGCACCTATAACTTTGCAGCATCCCCATGGTTACATGATGAAGATTTGGGCACCTGGCATGTATTTACAATAGGTGCAGTGTCCTGGTTGTGTAATTTCCATTTGAGATCTTCCCAGCCAGCTTCTCAATGAGGAAAGTCAGACTTGCTTAACAAACAAGGTCATAAAATGGGGTTCAATTCACTTATCAATCGCCTTGCTTAGTAATGCAAATTCTGGACACAGTTGCAGTTATAAGTCAAGGATTCTCTGCCAGGTACAGATGCTCAGAAAACAAGCATCAGAAAAACACCCATTTATCAGAAACAAATACTAATCTCCTTATATCTGTTAAAATGTTCTTTCCTTTTGAGCTTTTTTCCTGAACGAGCGGGCACACTTAACCGAGAGAAATCCTCCCAAATTTCTTTTTTTGGGGGAATGCCTCCAGGCTCCATTTGGTGATCCACCTTAGTGTAACAGTTAAGGTGCTATGGTTAAAAACCAGGAATTTTTTGCTAGGAATAGTAGGATCTAATTATAGTAAAGAGAATGATTATTTAATACTACATGTATTAACAGCTGCAAGAATAGTATTTGCCCAATTTTGGAAAAATGAAAATCTGCCATCTGACCAGGCTATAATTTCAAAAAATTTGGACTGTGCAGAAATGGGTAGATTAAATTTGGAGATGAAGGAGAAAGAAGATTCAATTTATTTTAAAACTTGGGAAAATTTTTATTGATGGTTAGAAATACGCTAGAATACGATTAGAACTTAACATTGAATTGAAATTTAAAATTGAATAGAATAAATGATAGACTCTTAACTAAGTGTTATTTCTTAGATTAATAATAGTTTTATTATTAGTGATTTTAAATACTAATGGTGATGACTAGAATTAGTTAATATGTTATTAAGTATGAATATTTATTTAGAGGAATTTTACTTACTTATCTAATTTTAGTTATATGATTATAGTTAACTTTATCTTTATAATTGTTTAGTATTATACAAATTATGTTTATTTAATATTTAGATCCGGACGGTAGCTTGTTTGTTAAAGCTTGGGATTATTATGGGGGGTTACCCCATTATTGTACCTACCTTTATCCTACCCCAAATTCCTATTCCCATTCCCCTCATATCCGTATTGACCCTATCTTTTCCTTACCTATATAAAACCTAATAAAATATTTATTAAAAAAAAACAAAAACCAGGAAGCTGTGAGCTCCAGTCCTCCTTTCGGCACCAAAGCTGGCTGGGTGGGAAAATCAAGCTCTCTTGAGCCCAAAAACAATCCACAGGATTTGGGTGGAAAAAACAGAACGTGGGAGCATTATGGATGTCACTTTGCATTGTACGAAAACAAAGGCAAGATACACACCTAACAATGGTAAAACAGTTACAGTGCTTAAAGTGGGAGGACGTGTCTTCTCAATTGCAACTTAAAATAGTTTAAAAATGAAAGACAGTCTTTGCTCTTTAGCATGCTAGCTTCCCAAGTTGGGTGTGTGCGTGTGCGCGCACATGGCTTTGAGTCAGTCTTCGACTCCTAGCAACTGCCTGAAAAAGTCCCTGCAATTTTCTTGGCAAGATTTCAGAAGTGGTTTGCCACTTTCTCCTTCTTGGGACTAAGAGAGGGGAACTGGCCTAAGGTCACCCAGCTGGTTTCATACCTAACGCGGGACTAGAACTCGCAGCCCCTCTGATTTATAGTCTGGTGCTTTAATCACGACACCAAGCTGGCTCTAACAGCTCCCTAAGTAGCATGGTTTAATTAAAAGAATCTTTAAAAATACAATCAAGAAACAGAAATTGAGAAATACAGGTAGTCCTCAACTTACGACAATTGAGCCCCAAAATTTCTATTGTTGAGACAGTTGAGTTTTGCCCCATTTTACAACCTGTCTTGCCACAGTTGTTAAGTGAATCACTGTGGTTGTTAAACTAGTAACCCAGTTGTTAAGTGAATCTGGCTTCCCCATTGATTTTCCTTGTCGCTGCAGCCGTCATAAATATATGTCAGTTGCCAAACATCTGAATTTTGAGCGAGTAACCATGAGGATGCTGCAACGGTCGTAAGTATGGAAAACAGTGATAAGTCACTTCTTTCACCGCTGTTATAACTTCAAAAGGTCACTAAATGAACTGTTGTAAGAAGAGGACTACCTGTAATCCCTAAAGTGCTGGCATGCTCACAAGGGCTTTCCAACACCATTCCTGAAACCTAGATTCTGTAACATAACCAATGAGTTTACAGGCCATGCCTAGTTCAAAAAAACCAAAAGTATGATTCAGCCCAATCTCTCTAAACCAGGCCCAAATTCTCAGTCACTAACCTTGGCAACTTTAAGATGTGTGGACTTCAGCTCCCAGAATCCCAAGCTGGCTGGGGAATTGTGGGAGTTGAAGTCTATGCATCTTAAAGTTGCTAAGGTTGAGAAACACTCACTCCTATTCTGACAGAATGGTTTATGGACAACAGTGGAAAGACAGCGTATAAACCTACAAAATACATTTTACAAGTGATTGTTCCTTATGAAAACCCATTGTGGAGATTTATAAGACCAGCAAATAGCATTATAAATTAGTATAAGTTACAGGAGTTTCTAGATTAAAGCTGTTGGCCTCTGCTTAGCCACTGCTATTCTGCAATCAGCTGGAAGTAAAATTAAAAGTGGATTCTACACAGCCCTTAATATAATGCTGCATTATTCAGAATGTTTTCAATGGTCAAGCTCCTGCTATACTTCGAAATTGGTCCGAAGCAGCAGAAATCTCTAATGTTAATTAAAACTTTCCTGTTTCCCAGCTTTATCCCTTTTATTACTTCTCATTGAGGGTAGCAGCAATTATGCTGCGGCTGCCCTACCAAGTGAGGCAATTGAAGGGGAAATTAACAGAAAATGATCTGCCGTTTTCCTGCTTCACCCAACAGGATACATAAAAGGAGAGACTCGCAGGAGTTCTGAATGTTTGAACAGCTATTTGGGTATCCACATCAGAAGCTGCTCCTACACCATGAAGAGGGATAATTATGATAATGAAGATGCAGGGAAATATACAAATGTCTTCCAGGCAGCACGTTGGCAAATTTAGCAGTTAGATTCTCCATTAAAAGAGAACGGATAAAGACAGTTGAGGTTCTGCCAACCTTAAATACAAAGCAGGAAAAGAAAAAGCACTGGAGGAAAAGCTTTGCGTAATTCATCCATACCTCAGCATGACAGAGGGCCAGATTGCGTTTTTATAAAGTTTATAATTCCTACGGTTAATTATTCTCCTCCCAAAATAACTGCCAGGATTTCAAGATCAAGTTTGTTTGGTTTTTTAAAAAAAAAAGCTTGCAGAGGAGGGAGTTAGAGAAAGTCACATAAATACCAATTGTTAAAGGGGGAAGAGGAATCACAAAATACAGACAGTCCTCGGTTTACAACAGTACGTTTAGTGAGTGTTCAGAGTTACAACGGCACTGAAAAAAGGAACTTCTGACCATTTTTCACACTTACTTCCCCAGTCAATGGGGAAGCCAGATTCACTTAACAACTGGGTTATTAGCTTAACAACCCCAATGATTCAGTTAACAACTGTGGCAAGGGAAGTTGTAAAATGGGGCAAAACTCACTTAACTGTCTCAACAATAGAAATTTGGGTCTCAATTGTTATAAGTTGAGGACTACCTGTATTTCTCAATTTCTGTGTTCTTCTTGATGGTATTTTTAAAGATTCTTTTAATTAAACCATACTATTTGGGGATCTGTTAGAGCCAGCAAAATGGGACAAAACTCACCTAGCAACTGTCTTGCTTAGCAATATGGCTCAATTGTGGCCGTAAATCAAGGACTACCTGTACTCATTTTTCATGCCACACTAAATAAACCAATACGGTAGCAGGCCTACCTGAAAGGGAGATGGTGCAGAAAAAGAAACACATTAAACCATGAGCAAGTACCATGGGAATGTCCCACCCAGCTAAGATTACAATCTGACACCCACTTCCCTCAGAGTAAGCTTCCCTAAAATCAGTTTATTTTCATAGAAAACGTCCACCAGGTATCCTGATACGAGAGTTCCTGGTTCAAATCCACTTTCAGCCATGGGACCTCATGGGGAGCCTTTTGGAGAGTTATTATCACTCAGCCTGGCCTACCTCGCAGGGCTGTTGTGCAGAGAAAGACCCACTCGGGTCCCTGGGGAAATGGTGGCCTGCAAATCTAGCAAATGCAAAGCAAATAATTTGCCAGAGACATTCTCCTGCTGACCTCTCTGCAATAGCGGAGAGAAAGGCCAGCAGCCTACCTTGCAGGGCTGTTGTGTTTTTTAAGCAGCCAGGGAACCTGTGGACACTTCCCCTGTTCAGTCTCTAACTTGTTTTATTGCATGCTGTTCTGCACAAGCCCCCAGAGGAGCAAAAGGTTCATATTTACACAACAACCCTGCGAAGCGGGTCAAGAAGACCGCAAGGAAAGAGAGCCCACCCACCTTCAACCGGGTCCAAACTAATTCTTTTTCCAAAATGAGGGAAATGAAGAGGTAGTTCCGTCGTCCGTTCACAGAGGCGGGGGTGCTGTGTCCATTTTCCCCCCTCCAGGAGCATTTCACCCGAAATAAAACGTTGGGATTTCGATCCCAACTCCAGCGCGGGCTTACCCGCGCCACGCAGGCCGCTTACGTTGCCGTGACGACCGCCAAGCGCCGACGGGAGTTTCAGCTTTCCCGTCCCTCCCGCTCGCGCTCCTGACGCACTTGAGTTCCGCTGAGATCAACTTTTCTCAATCGGGGTCCGTCCAGAACGTTGCAGCCCTTCAATTCCCACAATTCCCTCGGCTAACCATTACGGGAACTGGGAGCTTATCTCATCTGGTTTGCGGGGAGGGACAAGACCGACCGAACTTCATTCCTCGGAAAGGAGCGTTGAGCCAGGGCAGGGGTAGGCAACCTTGGCTCTTTTATGACTCATGGACTTCAACTCCCAGAATTCCTGAGCCAGCACAGCTGGCTCAGGAATTCTCAGGAATTCTGGGAGTTGAAGTCCATGAGTCATAAAAGAGCCAAGGTTGCCTACCCCTGAGCCAGGGAGACAGAAATTCGGGGGGGGGGGTGTCAGAAGGGAAATTATAACTTACGTTCCTGAAAGGACTTTTGCAAATCCCAAGAAGTACTTTTCTGAAGCGCTTTTGTTGAAAAAGTGGCTTTTGATACACACCCCATCTTGAACTTTTGTGCAAGCAAAAAAAAACAAAAACCCATGTTGGTTGTGCTACATTAACAAGCAAGCAAGTTCCCACTATTCTGCATTTAATATTCCCTCTGCGATCCAAAGCATTTATCTTTGCAGTTTCTGCAGCTGATTGGACAGGAAAGTAGAACAACCCTAGAAGCTCTATGATTACAAAAGAAAGTTCACTCTTTTCTATTATCCAGATTTTTTTTTCCTAATCATACCACAAATCATAAGTGCATTTTATCCATTGTATGCAAAAATCTGAAAAGTCTATTATTTCTCTAATAAAGAAGTTACTTAAAGAAATTAATTTATCCATCTCCAACAAAAAAGTTTTGGAGCAAAGCAGGCCTCCAAATAATCACCAGAGGGCAACAAAAGGATGGAGGAAAATGTCTCTGCTGCCCTCTAATGATCATCTGGATTTTTGCAGGTCAAATATGCTGTCATGTGCCTCTCTTGACCTTCTGCAGATGCCTGTGCAAAGAAAAAAAAATCATGCTTCCCCCAAAGCTAAACCTGGCAACACAACCCTTAAATTTTCATATCTCTTCCTACTTCTAAGCTACCTTTTCTATACCAACATCCTTTAAGCATGTTTGGCTCGGAAACTCATGATCCCCTGCCTGAACATTATGAGGGATGAAGTCCAACATGTGGAGGATATAGGCTTGGAAAGATACCCCAAAACTGCAACCCTCTTTGCTGCCACCAGATCTGTAAAAATATCTCTGGAGAAAAGATAGCTAATTATGCATTTTCCAGCCTCTCAACTCCATTGTGCAAGGGACGAAAGATATTGAAGTCATAGTTCACCAGCAGAATTTGATATTAAGAGACAAACTAAGGAAACGGCAGTAGAAATGTAGTTGAATTAACTCTCTGGACCAAGAGAATTGCTTGTCTTTGAACCATAAGGTCTAATTAACATTTTTGCTCATTGTTAAACTTTGCACTTGCAGCCACACTGAGAAACATCAAAAGTAGACCTCGATTTGATAACAACAGAAGTCAAGTTTATTCTATGTAGAAAAAGCTCGTCTAAAAGATACCTGAGCATTTGAAATGATCCATTCAATCAATGATTTTCAATAAAATAGATGAAATAAAGAAAAAGGTCTTTAACCATAGCCTGTACCCTGGCTCTTAATCAATCTCATTTTGCATTTCATTTTAAAGCATGCTATGATTCCTCCACTCCTTCTTTGATTAGAATAGAATAGAGCTGGAAGGGACCTTGGAGGTCTTCTAGTCCAGCCACTGCTCAAGCAGGAGAACCTACACCATTTCATACAAGTGATTATCCAGTCTGTTCTTAAAAACCTCCAGTGATGGAGCGCCCACAATTTCTGAAGGCAAAGCTGTTCCACTGGTTGATTGTCCTCACTGTTAGGAAGTTTCTCCTTAATTCCAGGTTGCTTCTCTCTTTGGTCAGTTTCCAACCATTGTTTCTTGTCCTGCCCTCTGGTGCTTTGGAGAATAATTTGACCCCCTCTTCTTTGTGGCAGCCTTTCAAGTACTGGAATACTGCTATCATGTCACCCTATTTGTTCTTTTCTTTAGACTAGCCAGACCCAAGTCCTGCAGCCATTCTTCATATGTTTTAGTCTCCAGGCCTTTGATCATTTTAGTTGCTCTTTTCTGAACTTTTTCCAAAGTCTCTTTGTACAGATAATCTTTGACTGACAGCAGTTTGGTTACTGCATTATTAAAAAAGATGTTGAGACTCTGGAAAGAGTGCAGAGAAGAGCAACAAAATTTATTATGGGATGGAGGCTAAAATATAAAGAATGGGATACATCTAGAGTCTAAAGAAGAGAAGAACTAGGGGTGACATAGCAGTGTTTCAATATTTGACAGACTACCACAAAGAAGAGGGGGGCAATGTTAACGGAGGAATTCTGGGAGTTAAACCCTACCTATTTTAAAGTTGCTACAGTTGAGAAACATTGGGCCAGACAACTGGAAAAAAAATATCAGTGAAAGAACAGCTGAGCAGGATGTGAAGGTGGCTTTCAAATATATTTTTTTCTGGAGCTTAAAAAAGGAATACTGTAAATACTTTTCTGCTGTTTGGAGGCTGGCAGTGCATTAGAAGTGTCAGGACAGTCTGACTTTACATTATGATCACTCTGCAGTTCACTTATCAAGACTGGTTTTAGTTGACTTTCTTAAAGAAAAAAAACACCCAGGTAACTTTATACCATAATTTTATCCACCTTTTACAGTTTTCTCCTGCATTCCTGCTTAAGAACGCAGCCTCTCATTTTCCTGCAATCTGGAAAGGAATCAGCACACGTTTGTCTTGGGTTTAGTTTTTTTTTCCTTTCTAAGATGATTGTTTTGTCTTTAGGTAGCACTTTAGAGATAGGCAGGGTAGCCAAAGTTGTACAGTTGCTCACAGGATGAAGGTTCAAATCTACCCTCAGCTATGGAAATTCACTAGCTGACTTTGAGCAAGTCAGCCCAGCCTACATCACAAGACTGTTGTTGTGGGAATATAACAAAGAGATGCTTACTTCATCCTGAATCCTTTGATACTCTTAGAAAAATTCATGGCAGGACCTAAAAACGCCAAATAATGAGTGGACCCTCTTCAGAAATTCAAGAATGCACCAGAAACCAGGATTAAAACATCACACAACCACATATTCTTTATTGATGATTGTTATATTCAGAGAGATACAATAAAAACTTTGACAGTACAATAAAAGTCTGCAGTTGACAATTGCATTAAAAAAGCATTTCATATTCCTCATCTATTCTTCTTCAGGGCTAACACGGCAAAAATCACACAGCCCTTCCTGTTTAAAAAGGCACGCTCTTTGTCTTCTCAATAGTGGCTAAATCAAACAAGAAAAGTGAAACAAAAGGCACTTAGTGTGTTCTAAAAGGCATACCCCTCCACCAAAGCAAAATGGCCACTTACTCTGGCTTTGTTGTGTGTCCACTTGCATTTGAACTCTCTCAAGTCATTTAAAGGTGTGTGTTTGTGGTGGGTAGGGAAGAGATTGGAGTTTTCTCTATCTGATCCCTAAGCTAGAAGTATCTCATCCCACCTGTTGCTCTGATAGGCATGGGGACTGCAATTCCCAGTATTCTAAGCCAACGAAACTAGGAATTCTGGGAGCCGTAGTCTTAGTTGGTGCGCAGAAGGTAGCTTTAATACACGATGGTGTTTCTGCAAAGAGATTTTTTCTTTCCTCCATTTGCATGCAAGCCATGTTTGAGGAAACTTCCTGCCAAGTGGAAAAGTACCCTTAACTATCACCTGTTCTTTTCACAGAGCATTTGCAATAATGTTGGCTAAAAGAAGGTCTCAGGGGAATCGTGGCTGAGAGATCCCAGTATCTTTTAACCTCCAATCTCCAATGGGTAGATGGGAGAGAGCAATTCAAATATCTCGACTGCGGGTTCAGTGGTGTGAAGGGAGGGAGAAGAAGCAAGATAATCCATGTAAACCGAAGGCTGTGGGGGGCAAGGAATGGGTGACACACAAGTGAAAGACATTCTCTAGTCTAGGCTAACAGAGCAACGCCGGCTAAAACAGAGATATTAAAAAACTAGAATAGATCAGTTCCTAATGCTAAAAGAAAAAAAAAAGCGAACGACGCCAATGCTCAGGGCTAAGCTTGAGGCTTGCTTCCAAGCTCAAGTCTTTCATTACAAAATGGTCTCCTTCTCTTCTTCTTCTTCTCCTCCTCCTCCTCCTCCTGCTCCTAGGGCAAATGCTGGAGACATCATCATCTCTCGGATGGGATTTCCAGAGCCACAAGGTGCATTGGCCACAGCTGTGGGCCGCTCGGAGGGATTCTGGGACTCTGCGTCCCCCAGGGATAGAAGATCAGGGGTTACGGAGGCACCCCGTGCAGGCTGAATGTCAATGACGGATACGGTCCGGATCCCACGGATCAAATCCAGCTGTGCGTTGGCCATTCTTCGTTCCATTCGGTCCTCCATCCACTCTATCCAACATTTCAGGCTGCAGAGGAGCGCGGAAAACATGGTGCTGAGCGCAACTGCTATAAAGAGGAAATCAAGGAGGCTTATGGTATCTGAAAAATAAGGGAGACGGTTGTTACAGGTCGTCCTCAACTTACAGCAGTTCATTTAATGACCGTTTGAAGTTGCAACAACACTGGAAAACTGACCTAGGACCGTTTTTTCAACTTACACCCACTGCGGCATGATCAAAATCGATCAGAATTCAGACGCTTGGCAACGGACTCATATTTATGACGGTTGCTGTGTCCTGGGGTCACGTGATCCCCTCTTGTGACCTTCTGACAAGCAAAGTCAAGAGGGAA